ATTGGTGTTCATTAATTTTTGTCAAAAATTAACCCAATCGAGAAAAACGCGTTAGAGAAAGTTTTATTCATTTTGCCCTGATTATTTAGAAATGTTGGCTTGAACTTTTGACACATGGCTGAAAAAAGGAATTGACGCTAATTGAACTAATATCGCCGAACAAAACTTAATTTTGGAGCCATACTCAAAGTACTAAAAGTTGTTCTTTTTTCATACTCATTTTGTACTCAAAGTTGTTCTTTGAGAAGCACATGAACGTGGCTTAGTCCTTTTTATTGAACTCAAAGTTGTTCAATCAAAAAAGTTGCTCTTGGAGAAGCACCGGAACGTGGCTTGGTCCTTTTATTACGTAAAAACGGATAGAAGAAGTAACAAACCTTTCTGAGCTTGGCCTCAACCACAAAGCCGATTTTTTTTCGACTTAATGCGAAGTTTTATGTCTCAACCGCTAATGACAGACAAGGCAAAAATTACTATTTTTTTTAGAATAAAGTTTTGTATTTTTGTTTTACAACGTGCTTTTTCTCTCCAATTTCTTTTGTGGCTCAAAATGGATTAAGTAAAAGCCGGTTGTTCTAGACACGAAAACAAAATGGTTAATCATTTATCAGTTGAAGCATTTTAATATCACCATGACACAGTTTTTAAAAAAATTGTGATGACGGTTTCCAGGAAGCGCTCAGCTCACTTTCTCGTTTTCAATAACAAATTTTCTCGCTTTCACGAGAACAAATTGTTAATCCTTTATCAGTTGAAGCGTTTTAATATCACCTTCATTACAATTTGTGAAAAAAAATTGCTATGACAATTTCCAGGAAGCGCTCAGCTCACTTTCTCGTTTTCAATAAAAATTGTTTCAGAAGCATGAACCTTTAACTCACAGCACGATTAAATATGTCAAACAGTACTACAGCAGTGACAAAAATGGATAAAAATTGATCTGTTTATAATCTGTAGATATTTTGAAGATGATTTATAGATAATGTTTAAAAATTGCGTTTAAAATTGATAATTTTGTATACAAACTATACGGTTAGTAACAATTTCAATTGTGACCTTCTAGAACTCAAATTAACAACTGCTTTTTTTTCTCAATTTTTAGCAAAAAAACTGTACCCAGGAAACATGAGGAACTCTGAGACGCTCCACTTGCTTGAGGAAAATGTTTAGCGCAAACTACACGTTTCAAGAGATTTATTTAGAATTTTGCAACCTAAAGGTTCCCGCGGTCAGAAAAACATTTCTTCGAATGCAAAAAAAATAACTGAAAAACCTATCTTACAATTTATTTTCAATATATGTATTTTATCTAATCGGTGATTATGTTGAAAAATTGGTATACAATCTGTGAATAAGATGATTTTCAGTCAGTTAAGACCTGTAGATACACTGTTTACAATCTGCGTATTATTTGTAGATAATTTGTATATAAAGTAAAGATAATCGTTATACAAAATGTATACGATCTGTGTATAGCATGCATGAAAATTGATACAGAAAAATTTGAAGAAAAGTTTTGATAATGATTATAAGATGGAGATATACAAAATGAAATTTTTGCAAAAAAAAATAAATGCTTTAATACAGGGGCGGATCTAGGATTTTCTCGAGGGGGGGGGGGGGTGCGGATTTTTAAAAAAGTTTTGAAAATTTTTTCGATTTTTTTATAGGTCGACCGAATCGATTTTTTCGAGCTCTTTCCTAAGCCCGGTTTAGTCCCTGTTTTGGCCAAATTCAAATTATCTGCGCCGCAGGCAAAATTTTGAAAAAATAGTCTAAAAAAGGCGTTTTTAGGCACTTTTTGAAAAATGTTAACCAAAAAATTGCATTGCGTTTTTTCGGCGCGCGTTTTCCCCTCAAAATTAGTATATATTGGCGCCGAAGGCGCATTTAGAAAAATTTTAGGGTCGGTCGGCCAATAGTGAATTTTTTAAAAAGTACCAAAGGAGGGACGCTTTGGGTCGGCAGGGGGTCGAATCCTTGAGGGGTGGGGGGGGGGAATGGTAGGCGTCTCTTTTTAAATCTGCCCCTACTTTAAAATATAATATCGAAGTTTTACACTACAACGTATCTTAAGTTTGTATAATTTTTTGCAGATAATCGATTCGATTTTGTCACTTTGGGCACAACCGGCTACTATTGATCAAAGCTATTCGTTTTGTTTGTTTTGTTCAGCTAATATAACTTTCTCTTCTCTCTAATGTTTAGAGAGGAGAACATTATTTTAAAATTGATTGAAAAAATAGGCGTGCAGTGACAGTTGCAGTCTCTCTAGGGTCTTTCGAGTCGACACTATCTGATGTAAAAGTAACTCCTTTTTATAGTGATAGTATTTCAGAGTTAGTTATACTGGTAAAACTTTTCAGTTCATATTGAAAAAGAGTAACTAAAAATTGTTGAGTTTTCCCGTTTAGAATAATTGAAATCGAGTTGGCTGAACTCTCTCTTTGTTCACAGGTGTCGCACTTTGTACATGCTGTATGCGATCGCGGAGTACGTGTCCCCAATGATCCTCCTTCTGCTGTCAGTCGAGAGATTCGTAATCACAGTCTACCCTCTCCACAAGGACACCTTTCTGAGGAAGAAGAACTACTTGGGTAAGCCTTCTTCCATGTTGGACAATTAAAGCATCTATATATACATATATTCACTAGTGGATTAAGTTCTCCTTTTACTCATGGGTTCAAGCCCCTGACCACCCAAAGGGATGGTACTATTATAGGACATTCATTTTTGGTCGACTGAACCTCAAACGTATTGCACGTTGTTTATCCCAAATTTTCAAACTATTTTCAAACCCCCTTAATTTTTGGTTTTGGACAACAATATCTCTCAGATGGTATAAAAATTTTCCATCAAAAACGCTAAATTAAAAGTTGGGAAATTGTCTGAATAAATAAACCCAACCCAACCCAACAAGCACGAATGGTCCGTCATTTTCTTCAAAGTTTAGTTTGGAACAAAAAAACTTTCAAATGTTCAGGCCATGTAACCAAGATTGCGTTATAACCATATCTTTTTGGAAAATCTTTTTGTCATAATTGAAATAATTTGAGAACAATTATAAAAAAAACTGTTTAAAAAAAACTTTTTTGGTCTGAATAATTTTGGTTTTCAAGTCCTTCTTGAGTCTAGCGAATATTGAACTATCAGCTAAGCAGCAATCGTATCAAGTAATGGACAATTCTCAAAAAAAATTCATCTCAAAGTTGGTATCGTTGCTGCTAATTTAGCAGTTTAACGAAATGTAAAATTATTCTACAGTCTTCCGAAAAAGAAGAAGAAAAAAGAAATTTAAAAAGTAGAAAGCACACAGATTGAAGGAAAATTTTTTTTTTCATTATTCCTTTTGTTTTAGTTTAAAAAGGTATTCCTTACAAAATTGTTGACGAGCGATAAAATGCTGCTAACTTAGTTACCTGCTATACTCGTTATAATTTTCTATATGGGCTCAATCTGATTATACGATGGATGTATAACTACTATGTAAGATTATGATTTTGGCCAATTTTTATAAAGTGTGGTCAATTCAGGTACTGCTGCCTTGCTCATTGCCGCAATCAACTTCGGGAGCAAAATATCATTCTGCTCCCCTATATAATTCAAGTTAAGGTATTCTTAGTAGTCAGTGATAGCTCATTGCAATTATGAACAGCGAAAACTTGTCGCTGATCAATTCAATCGAAATTCAATTAATGGGTACATCCGTGAGTTATGCATATCGAATCCCATACCCTCTAAAACATCGCCGTTTGGTTACTGTGTTTTGCTAAATCAATCTAATGTTCCAATTTTTGTAGCAAAAGTAACGGAATATTTGTGCTCGGGTGGTTTTTTCTTCAGACAAATTTCGACTTTTAACTAGTCTATTTTGACGGAACTTTTTTAATCGTTCAAAAAGTATCGTTATCCTGAACTTCAATTTGAAAAGATTTTTCACCTGTGATCATTTTTCACAAGGTTATGGGGGGGGGGGGGGGGTTAAAGATTGCCATTTCGGCCAATTCAGGACAATTAACGAGCGATATTATTCGCGCTACGCTATTCACGCGTAAGTGGAGATTATATCCGTCTTAGAAATCGTTCCAAATTGGTTGAAGGAAGCATATTTGCCATAAATGATTTGTTTTTAAGTTTTAATAGTTTAAATTTTTTCATGTTCTTACTGTTCCATAGACCTTAAAAGGCAGTCGGAACATTCAGAGCTTCGCCCTGATACGAGCAGTCTTGTTGTAAATTACCTTTTGGAATATTATGATAGGCTGCTCTGCGTAAAATTGTTGGATGACAGGACAAAGTATCCCATACGAAAGTACCACTTTACAAAATATCCCATACCATTATATCCCACGTCAATTCAAATATCCCATAAAGGATTAAAAGTTAATTTATGTTTATTGATTACTAGGGATTGGTGTATATCTCTAAATCGCAATTAAAAATAGACTCAATTCAACTGCCTCAATTATTTCGAGACGCCATATAGAGAAAGTGCTAATGGTAAAAGAGTCTTTTCCAGTGGTTAAATTGTATTTTTCAATCTGTTAATGGAGTCATAACTTTGAGAAAACTTTGACAATGAAACACAATGCAAAGATATATCACTAAACACAAAGCACCAATACAATAAACACCAACTGACAGATTTTATCTTTAGTAAGACTCAACAAACACGGCAAAGCGTTGCTTATCTTCGACGGACATGAGTTCACTAAAAAGCGAGACACCAAATCTACCATTCACTGGCGTTCATATGGCGTTCAAAATGGCGTCCATATAACTGCCCAATGACCATTATAACTTGCGACGAAACCATTATTTCATTCAATTAAGAGAACAGCCATGAGTTTTATCCCCAGTCGCAGTTGAAAGCAAAGAGCCTCAAAACTGTGAACGATAATCAGGCAATTCAGCTTTCACTTCCTTCACGTGCAGCCCTGACAAAAACCCTCAAAAGGAACAAAGCGCGAAAACCACTCCCAGTGAATTCATCGACCGACGGTCACTTCGAACTTCCCGACAAATATTTACTTTTTGTCTACATGATAGCGGAAAAGAAGACAATGAGCGATTCTTTTTTCTCGGTGGCCTGGAAAACTTAAATCATCTTCGCGTGAATATTAAAGTTTGGCTTTGTGATGGAACTTTATAGGTATGTCCGTCTCATTTTTTTGATCAATTGTACACAGTAAATATCCAGATTGGCGGCTTTATCCCCCCTGCGTTTACGTTTTGCTTAGGAATTAAGAAGCGTCCTCTTACAGCAGGTTTTTGTAAGCCCTCATTGGCCTCATTGGAGACATCGTACAGGAAAAAAATCTCAATTAGTTAGAAGAAGCTGCCTTGAACGCATTTTCGTTCCAATATAAAACTGAAATCAAAGCTTGCTATTTTCATTTATGCCACAACTTCCATCGCAAGCTTCAGAGTTGGGTCTGAAAAAAACGTATGAAAAGCATGCTAAGATAGACTTCACATTTTAAAAGATCCCAGTTTCAAGCTTCGTTCCTATCTCAGATGTCGAATCTCCGTTCGTTTACATTTGTCATAGACAGAATTTACAAAACTGCCGGTCAGTTTGACATTCCATCAGGTATCCTCGACAAAATTGTTATTGACAAGCTCGCATCATTATTCCAGAAAACTTATATTAAAGAGAAACAATTGGTCAACAACAGCTTGATCCTTTGTTCCCCCCAGCTTTTTGTAATTGTTACGAAAACGCGGCGGGAGGTCTCATTCGAACAACCAATTCAGTTGAAGGCTGTTATATCGGCGTTACGTCGCTTTTCCAGGGCATTCACCCGTCAATTCATATATTTTTTGGAAAAAAATAGCTTGATTTTTACAATCAGAAATTCAAAACTCTGAGAGCAACCAGTGGTACCACCAATCAGCCCGTAAAAAATTCCGAGAACTCAATGAAAAAGTGCGAATGATAACTAACTCCTAAAAAAAGCTCAAATATAGTAAATTATGTTCAAGCTTCGGCTCATTTGACATTCTCCTAGATTTCTTTTTGTCAAATTGTCAGCTTAATTTTGTCAAACTGTCGGCTTTTAAATGCGTTTTTAATTGATTTACCAAAAATCGTAAAAATTTTGGCCCTTAAGTCATCGTAGAGGTAACAACTTTTGGGAGGTGATGGAGGCCAATACAACAATAATTTTGTATTTTCCCTCACCCCGCTCCCACATACCGGCTACCAATTTCGATTAAATTTTTATCGGTTTCGAACTAGTACTTTTGATCCAACGTGAATCGATCGTTTGATCTTTTGACCAAGAGTCATATTGTTTTACCATAATGCCAAGTGATTTTGAACAGTCGTTTTTTCATCCTGTGATAGTTCAAAAGGATGATGGATTTAAAACACGAGTGAAATTTTTTGCAACAAATTTGCAACGAATTTTTTGCAACGAATTTTTGCAACGAATTTTTTGCAACAAAAATCAACAACATCAGGTTTCGTTTTTAAGTTTCACTGAACTAAATGCAGACACTTATCTAAATTGTACTTTTTATCGTTTTTTCTGCTCAAGAAATTTTCAAGTTGGCGATATATGTATTGCGATTTGATTTTGATTTGTTTTTTCATTTGGATCCAAGTTCATTTGCTGAGATGAAGAGATGTTATTCTCTAGCTATAATTAGAAAAATTAAAGTAGCGTAAAATATAATTTTTTAGTTTTGCAAGTTGAATAGAATTGTAAGATTTCTCAATTAAAATTTTGGTAAAAAGATTGGGGAGTGAATAGTTTGCGTCCCGCAAACGGGTTAAAAGTTTTAAAAACATTTCACAGAAACTCAACAAAAATTACCATTTAAATCCCGGCGTTTCAACGAAAGAAAACGACATTGCTGAAAAATATGGCCCATGAGTCCATAATCAAAACTGTTGATAAGCAAGACCAATTTTGACAAGAGTTTGTAAATTGAGACCTAGATCAATTTTATTCATATTTCGTATTTTTACAAGTTTTTTTTATCGTAAGTTCTGCTGAATCACTCTATGAAAGACGGTTTAAGTTCTATTCAACATAGATGTTAGCTTTTTGTTGTACGCTTTAACCCCCATTCTACGCTGTTCATTAAGCACTACAAAGGAACATGACACTAGCAAACGTTTTTATTTTTTCTCAAAAATCATGTAAAAAAAATTGTATAGCAATTTTTCCAATAGTTTTTTATGTTTTCAATTTCTGCCAATGGAAAACTCATTAACAGTCATTAAAGGTCAACTTATCTGATATTTTACATCTATAAGGTCATCAAAAATGATAAGGTCACCGAACTAGGAAACTTAATGTTTGATTAAATTCAGCTGTACATAGAGCGGTACAATTTTTGTGACTTTTGAGTCAATAAATCAAAGCTAAACTTCGTGACTCTTTATAAAAAAAATGATTAAAAGTATTCAAATCTTGTGAAGTTGCTTTCGTACACTTCAATTAATTTATATTTTAATTCAACAAATGTGGCTTACAATAGAATGAAAATAACCTTTCCTCCTGCAAAAAAATTGGGTTTATAATCATCATTTGCGTGGGAAATTCAGTGTTTATATCCAATACAATTCAAAACCTAATTATACTTCTCTGATCTTTCATGACATTTAAGCTTTACATTTAGAGCGTAATGATCAATCCATCATCGGTGCCCAAGAACTGATTTGGTTCTTATTACATGCACTTTTTCATCTTTGTTTTTAAATTAACTAGAAAAAAACTAACCAAATATGCCCCAAAAAAGGCCCTCAATTTTCAAAACCGCCTTTTTTGTAATGTTGTTGGAAGTTTTTTTGAAATAATGTATTGTACAAGAGGAAAAGTTGGCAATCAGACACGGTATGGGTTTAAAGTGAAGCTGGAAGGTAATTACTTCACATGGTTGAAATATCTCATTGAAGTTCAAATTAACTTGAACAACTTTCCCTCGAGATGAAATGGAAACCGCTGGTAGGGAAGTTTATAAGAGTACCTTTGATGGTGTTTTTTAATTCAATTATGTAAATTGAAAAAAGATTTCACGCTGCACGTGATCGAAAACGATTATTTTTCTTTTGCTGCCAACTTTTATCAAGAAACAATGATAGCGAGGATAGACATTCCCCAGTAAAGAGTGCAGATCTAATCAAAGTTTTGATTTCAAGTTGTTCAGGGAGTAATTGATTGTGGCTCCCAAATAAAAAGCTGAATATTTGAAAAGAAAATTGTGAAAAAAGTGAGCGATTTGGAGTGTGTGAGTATATGTGTGTGCGGGGGGGATGTGTTTTTTTCTTTTTTCCGTAATGTTTCGACCCGGTACCCCTGTCGTACTATTCAGCAAAACCCATTTTTGCCCGACAGACCCTGAAGTTTTTCTAAAGGCCCCTTTGGCGCCAATCTATATTAATTTTGAAAGGGAAACTCGAGTAAAAAAAGCATTTTTAGGCGAAAGCCTACCAAAAAGTGCTCAAAAACGGAAACGTTGTGCTTTTTTTTTCATAGGAGTTTTGTACTAGAAGCTTTGTACTAATTCATTGGAGTTTTGTACTAATTTAAGCTACCTCATAAATCAATTTGTATACCTAGAAAAGCTGAACTAACTTTTTATACCTAATTTTTGTATCAGATTTGTTAAAAAAAATACTAAAAGTCCTCCCCTGATCAAAGCTATGAAATTGCCTACCGTCTGCTAAACTAAAGGTCAAAACAGTATAAAAATTTGCTTTCCGAACTAGAATTAAGTTTTGAATTATGAAAAGAAAGATGAAATAGCAGTAACATAGATTGAAAAAAGAAAAAGCATCCGGTTTTACCAGGATGTTGAGATATATTTTATGAAAAACACGGCGGTAGAGTATTAATTACAGTATCTTTTTTCAAAATTATTATGACGACAGCAATCAATATTTATTCGGACGAAGGCTCTCTTTGTTCTTTGTCTTCCTCTTAAATTCATGTAATTCTTGTAACTTTATAGTAAAAGTTATGAGAAAATATCGCAGTTTTTATCTTGAGTCTGATTGTATGATACAAAACTTGTCCATTTCTGGCCTTAAAGACAAAACTGTCTTAAATTTTCTGGGGATTAATAGGGTAGCTTTTGATTGGTAAGAATTGCAATTAAAGTATAAACTGAAAAATGTGCCTAACGGCTTGTGTATGTACTAGATTGTCTGCTTAGTGCGATGTAACAAAAAATTACGACTCTTGTGGAAGGGGTGTCTAGCGAAATCTTTCTCAGAAAAGCCAAAATACAAAAGCTTTATACGCTTGCAGTGAAACATTCAGCAATGATGATGTAAATACATCATTTCCAATACATGATTTAGTTTTTTTAACCGTGTTTCTTTTTTTAAAACATAAGCGTTCCAAATTTGAACCCTTTTTTGGTTGTCTTTTGAAAAAAATGTATTTATGTTATAAAGAACATACGTCGAGAAAAAGAACACGAATTAAAAATACTAAGGCCACCGCGCATGCTAAATTATCACTATACAATCGTTCGGGTTAGAGCTGATTAACACAAAGTCCTAAATAATTTCTTATAAAGCATAAAATTTTTCTTGAATAGGGCCCGAACAATTTTTGCGCATAATTTTCAGAATAAATACATACTATGCGCGCATACGTAGCATTTAATGTATCTATTTAGAAAAAGAAAAATATTTCAAACCACAAAGGCACAAAAAAAAACAAATTCCAAAAAATGCTTTACCACAATTTCTTGGGCAATGTTTATGTCACAGAAAGCAAAGTAAAATTTATGGCTTCAATTTCTATAAACTTTCGATTGGTTTTCACAAAAAACAATCAGAAAAAGATTAAAATTACTTTGTCTTTTTATTTACCACTGACCCAATTTAAATGCCATTGTGACACATTTTTTATCAACTAAAAGTTTTTTAAAATCAAATCAATTTGTAAAAATTTCTGAGCTAGAAAAATTTGGCAATTTACTGCGTCGTTCTGAGAATTGTAATTTTCTCAATTTTTTTTTGCAATTTTGAGCTCAAGGCGTCAATTTTAATCAAATGAAACTAAAAATTTCTTTTGAAATGCTTAACTTAAAAGTTAGTTTCGGTATTTAATTGATCCTTCAAAATTCCCTCATTTTTTGTCATTTGCAAAAAAAATTGAACATAAAATCTGGAGAAAAAAATCAGTGAGAAATTTTAAAATTTTGGCATGATGAAATTTTGTGAAATAAACTTGAAGAGATGAATTTACAAGAAATGAACTACTCAAAAAAGAAACAGTCAATTTTTTGAAAAAAAGGTATTTAATTCCTCAAAAAATCCATTTTGATGAGAAAGAAAGCTCATAAAAACAATCTATCATTCATGTTTAGGAATTGAAAAAAAATGATTTTAATTAAAGCAGCAAATGCAAACCAGTGGCACGTTGTGTAAAACTTTTTCAGTCAAAATTTCAATTAATTTAGGTTTTTGGTCAAATTTTCAATCATTTGTAGAGCTTATTGTTTTTTATTGTTCCGACTTTCGATACGAAAGTAACGGAATATTTGTGCTCGGGGTGGGTTTTTTTTTCTTCAGACAAATTTCGACTTTATAACTAGCCATTTTTCACGGAATTTTTTTTATATTATTCAAAAGGTATTGTTGTCCTGAGATCAAATTTGAAAAGATATTTCACCTGAGATCAATTTTCGTAAAGTTATGAGGGTTTAAAGGTTGCCATTTTGACCAATTTGGGACAATTAAAGCGCGATATAATTCGAGCTATTAACGCGTAAGCGGAGATTTAATCCGTCTTAGAAATTGTTCCAAATTGGTTGAGCGAAGCTTATTTGCCATAATTGATGAGTTACAAGGAACGAAAACTATCTTTTTGTACTTTATATGGCGCGTGGGGTGATGATTTTCATAAAAAATTTCAAATTTTAGAAAAAAAAAATTTATTTTATTTTATTTCACATTATGTTGTTATGTTATTACTGCTGCTCCATAAACCTTCAAAAGCAGTCGGAACATTCAGGGCTTCGCCCTGATACGAGCAGTCTTGTTTTAGTTGAAATGTTGTAGTAGAATATGATTTTTTCACTTATGAATCAATCGGAAATTTTTCGTGAATAAAAAGTTTTTTAATTCGTTATTGATTAAATTTAACTACATAATTTGGCAAGAAAATTTTTTACGTCATTCGATATTCAGTTTGCCATAGCTCACTTTTTCACTTTATGTCGAGTTATAAGCAAACAGTTGAGCTCATTATTTAAAAGTTACGTTTGGCAAGACTTGAAGGTTTTTTCATTAAGGTGACAAGTTTGTTCAACAAACTTAACCCACCTTTGATAACACTGTATTTTTATATGACAAAATATTTTATCAGCTTTGATTGACAAAAGATATGTCATACTTTTTTTGTATAATTTTTAGTCACCTGATGAGTCACTGCGTCATTACTATTATTTGTGAGTTTCGCATAAAGTTTTATCGTTTTTCATTTCTCTATTTTATATCAAACAAAACTCAAGATGCGACATTTTCCGTGTTAAATTTTGCCCTTTGAAGAATAAGAAACCACAATATTAATAAGCTTATTTAATGTTCGAAACCTTTCTTATTGTGGTACCATATTCTCCATCGCCCAAAATTTTAAACGGAAGATTTCGAATCTTGAGTTTTTGTTTAATATAATGTGTGGTTCTCTGCCGTTCAGATTGTCCTGCTTCCGCGACGCTACCTCAGACTATGAATTCTCTGGTGAAAGCCTGGAAAATAGTTGCTGGCCGTGTCTCCACACATTATGACAACCATTATAATTTGAAGTCTTTGAAAACAATAACAAATTCTAGTTATAGCTTAAAAATGTAAGCTAGTTTACAAAAATTTTGATGTTTCGATCATTTTTGAGCTATCGTTTGCAAAATAGAGTCCTAAAAAATTCACTATAGTCTAAATTCTAATCCCTGAACGGATTTCAAAAAATTTATTTGAAACTCAATTGACCTCTGTTCAAGTATCATATACGTATTGAAGGCCATTTCGCCCCCGCAGTTTGTTCATTGTTCAGAAGAAGCCCATTAATTAAGTTTATTAATTGACATTTGCTATCAATTGTGCTCTAACGGTTGAAGTTTCAAAGCATATAGGATATTTTAAGTTTCGCAATTCGTCGCAGTTTTTTGAACCTTATAATCCATATCATAACCCACATCATTTATAATTCATAAGTCTATTTCAACAATTGCGAATGAGAGTCACATCATACTTTGCAACTACAGCACAACGCAAAAAACTATGTTCAAAATAAGATTTGATCAGCAAAAATATAAGCGACATTTTAATGTCAAAAAAGAGTTGAGAACAATAACGTAAGAATTTTTTATCCATGAATTTTGAGTTTGTAACAACATTTGACAAAAATTCAGCTAAGTTATTTCGTAGTTATAATTGTTTTTATTTGCGTTTGGTTTAGGTCTTGTGGCGTTTCTGTGGTTGACAACAGCCCTGCTGACCCTGGGCTTCATCATGGGCTCTGAGGCGTGTCAGACCACGGGGGAGCAGTACTACTGCCACCTCACACTGTGGGGCACAGACGAGGTAAGAATGTAATCCGCACATCAGCTAATTATCATTGTTCATCGATAAAAGTTAGCTATTTCATTGATCTATGATGTATGAAATAACACGGAATCATCCATGAAAATGTTATTAAAACTGTTTTAGTCTTTCTTATCAGTGAATATTACTGGGAACCAGGGGCGGATGTACGATTTTCTCAAGGAGGGGCGGATTTTCAAACATTTTTCGAAAATTTGTCGATCTTTTTTTAGGTCGACCGAAGTGAATTTACGAGCTCTCCCAAAACACACTAAAAGACCCTTTTTTTGGTCAAATTTTCTGCGCCGCAGGCAAAGAATTTTAAAAAACAGGCCAATAAAAAGCGTTTTTAGGCAATTTTTGCAAAAATTTGACCAAAAAAGTTGCGTTTTTTCGCGCGCTTTCACCCCTCAAAATTAGTATACATTGGCGCCAAAGGTAGTTGTTCTTAGGCAAACCCAGTTTTAGAAACCACTTAAACCAGGTTGGATCTAAAATTTTCTCGAGGTGAGGGCGTAAAAAATCGCTAATTTTGCAAACGTTCGTCTTCTCTAATTATCGTTAGAGAGAAGACGCCTTTGTTTTCCCTGATTAAGCTCCTGATTAATCAGATTTCCCTGATCATTTCGATATTTGTTTCTAAGATTAGAGTTCTTTGGTTTTTTATATTCTCACGAACGTTTTTTTTGTTGTTATTTGAAGTTGCACTAATTTCACATTTCCAAGAATCGAACAAAAAGAGTGCTAGTATTTTTAGTTCAAAGTATGCAATGAGACACTACTTGTTTCATCATGAACTGAATAATTAAAAAAAATTACAAATGAAATGATTGATGTCTTTCCAAAATCTATTTTTTGTTTATTAATACGGATAGATAGTCCAGGAAAAATTAACCAGTGGGAGGTTTTGCTAATTAATGTCTTTTATAGAAATAAAAAGCGTAACCTATTCTTAGGCAAGCTAAAATTATCTTCCATTTTTGGAAAGTACAAAAGCCAGTTCTGAATTCAAAATCAGGCCCATTTAATTTTTGAGTTAAGGTCAGAAATCAACTTGCTCTCGATCCAAAAGAGATATAAAAAAGTTTCGACATTTTTGAACGACAACAAACAAGACTGCTTGTTACAAGGTAAATCTCGAAATGTTCCCCCTGACCTTTAAACTATCTGAAAAAGTGTTAGAGAAAATATTGATAAAGAGCTCCAAAGAAGGAGGAAAATGGTCGTTTTGGTAAAAGTTACAAGCGCACGGCATATTAAGTAGAAAATAATGCTATATTTATAGTACGGGCTATTTGTACCGATGAGTTCCACTCAATTCAGTTTGGATAGAACCAGATTAGCTAGCCAAATGAACATCTATCAGACGCTAAGAAAATCTGTCATACGTCGAATTTTTTTCGTCTTAATTTTTTTTGGATTATTGTTAAATTTTGGCTTATAATTGCCAAAAAAATGGTTTCTTAAGCTCAAGTTGAAATTTTTGATTTTAGTCTCTTGGTTTCTCAAAACAAGTCGATTCTAGATAAGCACTTGCTGTTCTTCAAAATGAGCGTCAAAGAATCAAGTAAAAGTGTTAAGTATGGGGAAAAACGGCATAGAACTAAAAGTCATATTGGGGCAAATTGGCATAAAACAAGTTGCAATGCAGGGCAATTTATTATAAGGCAAATTGGCATAGGGCCATTTGTCTTTGGGAAAATAGCCTTGACACCAGTAGACCATATCAAACTCGCAATAATCATATTCTTTTTATCCTTGATCAATTTGCTCAAAGTGGGGTCAAACTGCAACTGATAAAATTTCAATTTTTTTTATGTGAACTGCAAACAGCAAGAATAATTCCCTTCCTAAACAAAATCTTAATGTCTAATTTTTAACTTAGTTTTCAGTCATTTGAAGCCAAGCGATTATCCTGAAGTTTCTTTTTTATAATTGAGCTTAGGCGAATAAGAATGATTTGAAAAAAATTCAACCTCAACCAAGAGAATCTGATCTAAGTCAAAAATAATCGGACGCAAACATTCTGTGGACCACTAATGGTCTTGAAGCTTGAGGACAAAACTGCGATTAACTTGATACCTTTAATGGCATTGAAGAGTCTGAATATTATTCAAGGCTGAAAGTATGAAGGTTATATTTCGATCATATTGTTGTAAGTTGATTACGCGTATAAATAAATGCATTTACTCAACGAGTAATTTAGGAAGACTTTGCTATTTTTATCAACATGAGTGGCCTCGTGATTGCGTCGTTGTCAAAAATAGTTAGATTAATTAATGTATATATTTTTTAAATGTCATCCTAATTAAAAACTTAGAGACAATGTTTTCAATTTTGGTTACTACAATCAATATTCAACCTGCTGGGATCAAAAATTGGACCACAATAAACAATTCCACACCAATTTCTTAACAATAGCCAATTTTTTTACTGCTTTTTTTATAAATAATTTTCTTAATGACAACTTTTAAAACATAAAAAAATTCTCAACGAAGCTATTTTTTTCCTGGTCAACAAATTTGTTTTCTACTTTTTAATCTTTCTAAAGTGATTTTAGCACAGAATTTAAAAGCATTGGCTTCTTTAAAGATTTTCTATGACTGTGAGTTTTTGAGTGTTTTCACTTGCTCGTTTGACTGCAGTTTGCCATAGAGGATATAAAATAGGTTAAAACGGATATGAAACGCTATCTAGACTCTTGATATTTTAGTTTTTTTATTCAAAAGCATAAACTACAGTGCAAGAAACAACATAATTTTGAAATATAAAACAAAATTGAATCTTGAAACTCTCTGGATTTATTGATCAAGTTTTTTTTTCTCGAAATTTTAATATCCCAATCTTGCGGATTTTTCTCATAGAGTTGAAAAAGTGAGTTTATTTTTTGAGAATGATTGAAGATGGTATCAAACTGCATCTGAAATAAGGTGCTAATTTTTTTTCATGAAAAAATGTCAAATTTTGTAACATCATGAATGAAAATTTTGAATATATTATTGTTCCGCCTCTATGAGAAAAAACTGAAGAAAATTTGTTCTCAAAATGTTCGTTGAGACAAAGTTTGCTTCATAAATATATATTTTTTTGAGTTTCTCTTTGTTCCGACTTTTGAAAATGAGGAAGAACCCTGTATTGGGCTGTGTTTTGGTTTTTTCTTTTTTTAGTTGTTCATAGTTGTGGGTCGAGTGATATATTATATTAAAGTCTTCAGTCGTTATTTGAACGATTTTAAAAAATTTCTAAAAATTTGTCCCAAATTCGAGATAAATTGGTGTAAGTTTTTAGGTTTTTTTAAGTTTCGAGCAAGTGAATCAACCGAGTTACGTTCTTTTATATAAAACTTAGCTACTTAGGAAAAAAAACTCAATTTTATCAAAAAGAAAACTAACTAGTTTTGGAAGGTTTATTTGGCACTTATATATCAAAAAATCCAAAAAAAAAATTAAGTTTTTAAGTTTTTGTGTGCGAATTATATCACTTGCTGCTTTACATAGCGTGAAGGTGTAACAAAAAATTGACGACGATAAAATTTTAACCATTGTTTTGAAATATCGTCGTTTTTCAAAAAAAAATAAGTGAAAATACTATTTGGAAATGGAACATTCAATTTTGTTTAATTAGGAAAAATTTTGACATTTATAAGAGACGAAGAGTGAATTCTAGTGTTTAGAAAATTTTCGTACTAAAAAGCTTATAAGTGGAGTTACAGACTTCATCGAGTTTTACAAAATTAGACAAAATATGTGCACCAGAGACAAGCCCGCATCTGCATTTAATTTCATTTTATTTCTATTTTCACTCTTTATACTTCTAAATCTATAAACAGACATTCAGACATGAAAAAAACGCTTTTCAATTGACTTAATGGGCGAGAGTAGAAAACATGAGTTTATTATGCCGCTAAATTAGAAGATAGATAGTTTCAAAATGAAGCACAAGGCAAACCTGAGCTTTAAAACATTTGCGATACAACGCACGCCGGGGAATAGAAAATGAGACACAGACCGGAGAATATAAATAGAAAAAAATGAAAATGATAAATAAATGAAAAAAAAAAATTAAAAAACTAGACAAGAAAACCAATAACCAGCACTCATTTGGTATTTACCGACACCAATCTGACAATACGTGGATAGACACTTGTTGAGCCAAAGACTTAATAGCCTTTAATAATTGTTGTCATAGCTGCAAATTTTTGAGCGTATAAGTTTTTAAAAATTGAATTTTTACCCCACAAATAACCGGAAAAATTATACGTTATAATCATTTTGTTGCTTCAAATAGCAAAACCAGTAAAAGATTAACCAAATATATTTCAGCCGAATATAGCTTTCATGCAAAAAAAATTGTATAATTTCAGTGCTTGTAGATTACAGAAGTAACAAACAAGTAACAACACTTGCAGCTACAAAGAATATTGCTCAGAGCTCAAGTAAAACCCGTGATGTGGCAACTTAGCCGACAAAAAGCATAAAACACACACAAAAAACCGACCGACAATCAACTTTTCCCGGAAAAAAAATCAATTTCTTACATAAAAAAAACAAGGTCCGGCCGGGTTACGAACCCCAGACCTTAGATTGCTAAGGCAACAGTTTTACATCTAAGCATAGTGGGATATAGTCTGGAAGTTATAACGGTTCAATAATAAAAAGAGTTTGTAGAAAAAATTAACAGACACAAATCTAGTTCTCGAATACAAGGCACTTGCTTTCGCCAGTGTATTTTCAAGAAACTCGTGAAAAATAGTTTAAAAAATCTCGTATTTCTTAAAAGCTAAGTTCAGAAGAACATGATCATCATTTGACACTAGTTTTGGACGTTAACCTTTACGCGTTTATTGAACGAAGGTATTCCATTTTTATTGTAATCTTGCAGATGTCTGGTCGTGCTAACTCAGTCCCCTGTGGATTTCATAAAGCTTGTTGCAATAAATCTAATCAAAATATCCCGCTCTTTTTCACTCTGAGTAGCAGGACGTCAGCCTGCGTCTAATT